GCAGTATATACGATGAATTGACTTTATTAATAGATTTGTAGTTATCTAAAATTAACAATAATAAGTATACGTGGCTCAAATTGTATCTGTCTTAATATTATTGGTTTCTTTCTCTTAAAAAATGAATGTCATTTTGATTAACAATCTTTTTAAATAATTACTCTCTGTATATAGGATTTTTACATTCGGAAAATCGAAAGGGTGTCCTGTATGTTACTATGTATGGCTAGGGAATTGTTTCTCGAGATTGAATTCATCTTTCAAAAAAAAAAAAAAGAAACCATTAACGAAAAGACAGATACCGACAATTTAAGCAACCTATACTCATTATTCTTATTTTGGATAACATAAAGACAAAAACTCATAGAGTTTAATTATTAAAATATCAACCAGCACATCACAGGACGCTCTAAATTACACTCAAATATAAAATTATTTTAAAACACGTCAACTGAATAATACAACCGTTCATAAGCATTTTTGAAATTCTAACTGTTACATCTCAAATGGAAGTCAGTAAATCTCTAAAGCCTAAAATAAAACTCGCTGAAACTCTGAATGATGGAAAATCAATGATTCAAGAAATCTATATTATTTACTGGCAGCTTGGTCAATCCACACATTGGATTGAGCATTGGGGCGATATCAGTATGTTCCCTCCAGAGCCAACGTCAACATGTCCGACGTGGAAATTGCAACAGCTACGACAATCGTGATAATAAGTGCACATGATTATATTTGGCAACTGCAGAGTGAATATATGAATGTCAACCTGACGTCGAGGCTCTGAATCCAATTTATTCTTTTATTAACTCAATTCCCAAATTTCTTAGCCTTCTATTTTGGCTATATTCTGCATCAAACGTGACTTTGCCGCAAATCCACAGCCGATATATGGAAGTACATATTTAAAAAGAGACATGACCACACGACGGTGGTCTATTAGGACAAATTGATCTAAATTTCAAAATTAAAAGCATGTACTATTGTAAAATATTTAGATTAGTACATTTTTTGGGTGCCTGAAATGTAGTGAAAAAAACCAGATATGTATATTATTTATTTATGTAAGAAATAGCCTTTCGAGCATAAGCCCCGTTCTTCGATTGATTCTCTATAATCAAATTTCAAAACAACTCCAATTGTCTAACTCAATACTAATATGTATGTTCTTTCGTGAACATGCGAATTCTATTATGAACTGAAAATATATCTGATCATTAAAAATCTATTTTTAGAGGTTCCCTATATCCAATTAGGAATCTCCACATTGATGAAAGCGTAGTGCTGCATGAGGAAAAATGATCGTTTATACCCTCTAGAAGGCCGAAGTTTTGAATTAAATTATTCCTTTTGTGTGACTTTTTTTCGAGTGCCGACTCCACTAATGAATGTTGGCTATAACCATTGCAAATTCGTCTCTATCTTCTGCTTTTCTTAAAAACGTCTGAGTGTTTAACTGGTCCAGTCGCGATGTTTTTCAGCCAGGATATTTGTCGTCTACCAGGACCCTTTTTTCCTTTGGTTGTACCCTTCATAATCAGCTGCAACAACTCGTAATTCTCAAATATGTTGTCTTTTTCCTTTTAATGGTGGTCAAAAGTTCTCTGTCTCTTGCCATATTACTTAATCTTAAATATGATCGGTCCATGGTATTTTCAAAATTCTTCTAAAAAGTCACATCTCAAAGGCTTCCAGCGTTCTCATTGAGTCCACATGAACAGTTTAAGCTTCGGCACCATAAAGAATAGAGTAGATACAACATTTTACCATAAGATATTCGATTCGCTGAATGAGACTGTGGTTACTCAAAAATTTTCTCATCTTAAAAAAGGCTGCTCTCTATTGCTCTATGCTTGATTGAGTTTCTGATTTCGGATTTAGAACTTCAGTAATCTTCATTTTGTCCACTTGTTAAATATCTTAATTTTTATCGGGTTTTTGTTTTCTTTATGTTTATTGTTAAAACAACTTGTTCCCCAGTATCAAAAATTGTGATTAGTAGCGTCTGCAGGTCTTTCTCACTTACAGTGATAATGACTGTATCGTTGGCATAACGCATGTTATTTATATTTTCACCATTTATCTTAATCCCTTCTGTACATTTTTTAAGTGCTTGTGTAAATAACTATTCGGAGTATATATTAAATAGTAACAGTGAATGTACACAGCCTTGTCTCACATCTCTACTGATCTGTTGCACATCCGTGTTATTTCCATCTAATTTTACAACAGCCTGTTTGTTCCAATAGAGATTTCTCACTATGTTAATATCATTTTTGTCAAGTCCTTTTCACTTTAGATATTCTCACGTTCTATAAATGCAACGAATTTGTGTGATCGAGAACAGGTTTATACTGCTTCCCAAGCAGGTATCTCTACAACAGGTTAATAAGGGTATATTTCATATGGGAAAAACTTGTTAAATATAAAATATGACTAAGAAAAACAAATATGTATTAATTAACAAAGTTAATATCATTTAAAGGGTTTTTACCCACATATTTACTGGCTTCCCACTATACCTAGTAATTGCATTGATGATGGACTTATTAGTCCGAAAACATTCTCTGATGTAACCCAAAAGAGCAATTTTAGAATATATATATATATATATATATATATATATATATATATAATATATATATATATATATATATATATATATACCTTTTATAGATTTTTTAAATAAAAGTTTTTTTTATGTATTTTTTCACAATGTAGTGAAAGTAAAGTGACTAGTGAGTGTCGTAGTGGCTGGAGGCTCGGGAAACTGAGACCTAGGAAACCCTGAAGAAGACATCAGAGAGGATGTCAAAAGCTCTGCCCAATGGATATCGACGCGGTTCAACCCGGAAGACTGGTGAGTTTAATATTAATTTTTATAATAGTATTAATCTTAGCTCTAGGTTTAATTGTACTAACCAGAGAAATATTTCCGAACATATGTATAATATAATATATTATATATATATATATATATATATATATATATATATATATATATATTGTACCTGACATTGTAATGATAACACATATTTATAGACTACAAGGCAGCCTACAACTCTGTAAATAGAAGAGAATTGTTTAGAGCAATGATAGACCTGGGAGTACCAAATCAGTTGGTAAGTCTAACCAAACTAACCCTTGAAAAAGTTGAATGCAGAGTACAGTTATATCAAGAAATACAAAAGTAAAACTCTACAAAACAATAATATGCCCAGTCCTAACGTTTGGTTCAGAAACCTGGACTTTAACAAAAAGCAATGAAAACATGTTAGGATGTTTTGAAAGAAAAATACTGAGGCGAATCTATGGAGCGGTAAATGAAAATGGTGTCTGGAGAAGACGATACAACTTCGAACTCAAAGAAAATATACCAGGAACCAGATATTGTAAAACACATTAAGATAGGACATCTGAGGTGGGTAGGCCATGTAATGCGGATGGAGCAAACCGACCCAGCTAGAAAACGCTCCTTGATAGACCTATTGATCAAAGAAGAAGAGGAAGACCCAGAACAAGATTCCTAGATAACATAGACCAAGGTAAGAGAAATATGGAAATACGTGCTTGGCGGAGGAAGGCGATGGATAGGGATGACTGGAAGAGAATTATTGGGGAGGCTAGGACCCACACAGGGTTGTAAAGCCAAAATGATGATGATGAAGGTAACCATGGACACAGTGAGTGATATGTATTGAGCAATTGTTAAAATGGAAATAAAAGTATTGTTGTGGAAGATTTGCCTAACTAATGGCAACATCAAATTATCTAAAACATTTAAATAGTTGATCAAATTGAATCTTGCTTTGAGTCTCTAAACTACACAGTACTTAACTTCCTGTATACACCACCCAACTTAAAATATTTCTAGTCATCTGGATCTTATCACTTGAAAAAAATATAATTTCCACTATACTTATTTCAAGGTAGTCCATAAACTTAGCCTTTGAATATCAAATAACAGATTATTTAAGTGTTTCATTCTGGACTTTACAAACCAGAACACAATAATCAAAAAAATGGAATGAAAATTTTCCCAAAATATTATTGTGTTATCTAGAAATTTCAACTTATTAGCTAATTAATTCAAATAAATAATAAAGCAAAAAAAGGAAATCAATAATGTCTTCACTAATAAAATATGCAATCATTTTTTTAGTTTTGTAAACACATTATTAACTTTATTCAGATCGAAGGATCCACTGCATCAAATATTCAAATAAATGTGATCATCATTTTCAATTTCTTATTCACACTGTAGCATTACTTTGATAAATATATTCAGTGGCAAATATCAGCCTTCAAACAGATGATACCATACATAGTTAAGCTGATATGTGGCTAATTGTTTGTTGATCATAATATTAAGACCTCTATTTTTAAATTTTTATCCATTTATATGAATGCTAATATCAAATTGACACCAAGCTATTATGCCTTTAATCACAACTAAAAATAAATGAAAATAAAACTGTCAAATTTTAACAGATTTCCCTTATCATAGTCATGTGCCAGTGTTTAGGAAAATACTATAACTATATCACTGTTGGGTAACATTAAGAGGAAGAGAAAGTGAAATATTGTCCAGGAAAACTTTCTCCTGAATTATAAAAACAAAAATAGTGTAGCATGACAAGTACAATTTTGAAACAGTATGAAAATAAATGACACGTTATTATTAAACACAAAGAGAAACGCAATTACCTTCTTATTCAGTCTGACAAGGACAAGGTTAGATCTCATGTAAATCTTCCGTATTTTTATTTTTCTCTTTAACTATCACAAGAGACTTTGAGGTAAATCCTCAAGGGTTGATAAAGTAGAAACACTACACTACAGTACCTACAGCTCAACACTCTCAATCAACTACAAAGCTTCTGTGATCTAAAAAATACACTTTGGTAAAGTGCCAAGAAATGGAGAAACTTGTTTCCTATGATATGCTTTATAATTTTAGAAATTACAGAATTAATGACATGTGAAAGAGGACTTACTGTTAATTTTTTCATAAGATATTATTTTGTAACTGTAATTTTATATTCTATTTCACTAACAAACAGATCATTTGTCCACTAATTTTTGTCACTTCAGAAATTGTCAAATTGTAAAATCTAATAATGGAGTTCTCGTAAGGTTCTCTTCGCGTGAGCGCAGTACAACATACAACTTCAGCTGATTTCACCAATAAAACCAAAGATGTTTTATGTTTGATGTTAGTAAGAGAGGATAATAGTGTCAAATGTCATATCTCTACCACAAAACAGAATCGTATTCTGTGCTTCTAGACCATCACCACAGAATAATAAACAATCAGAAGGGACACTCTCAGATGCCGCCTTTGAAGTATTTCAGCACGCGCGCCATGTTTGAGGAGGACACAGACATATGATTTGTGTGGTTATGTAATTGTTTATATTTATGTTTAATTATATTATATTTATGTTATTATATTTAACAATGTTAATATAATTGTATAGTATGTCTATGATTGCCGTAAGTCAAATAAACCTGGTTAATTTTTCCATGCACACCACATAATTTCTTTAAAATCCTCCTAAAACATGGCGGAACGTCTGCGCGGAGGAGATGCGCGTACTTAATTTTCCGTGGAGAGTGGGTATTCTGTATGTTTATTATTCTGTGCCATCACACCAATAAATATACTAGCGTCTAGAGCCCGATCCACTATTCTGTGCAGACTTGCGCAGTTCATTTCATGATATACTTCATCTAATTTAGATAACGACTTACGTCATGATCTACGACAGAGATCGAAGTTGACATAGTTGCCAAAGTATAAAAAAATCCTGACTCCATTTTAAATCAAATAGATCACATAATTATTGCAAAAGTATTACCATCGCTGTACAATTACTATTTAAATTCTTACGTGACATTTTTGAAATAAAACACACTAATTTTGTACTAAAAGAACAAATTTTATTAAATAGGAACAAATATAAAACAAGAGATATTCATTTTAAAATTCAAAATAATAAAGTACAAAAAGTGTCAACACCGCTACTGTCAAGTAAGTGTTACCACTTTATGCCAAAATTTTACCTTCGTTCAATTACAGTTACAGTGTGTTCCGAACAAATGTTCTTGATAAAAACGCTTTATAATGTATTTATACAAATTAAATGAAATATATTATTGTGTATTTCTTTAAGTTAACACTAATAGAAATTTTTAAATATTATTTCTACGCGCATATAATAAAAAATGTCTAGTGGCTGTAATGCCAATATACTCGGTAAAGTGAGTCTAAAAACGAACACACCTACCGCATAAATATTTCGTGTTGGTATCATGTGACGTCACAAGCTATGACGCCTATGACGTGCATCGTTATATAAATTAGATGAAGTGTACTATTATATGAATAACAAGATAGGATCTTCCCGTATCACAAAATCGGTCGTGTTCGCGCATGCCGTCATTGGAGAGTAGAATTTGAAGTCTTGTTAAAGTTAAATGGGATTTGTATGTATTCTGTGATGAAATTACTGGACGAAAATAAGTTAAGAGGTTCAATAATTACAATAATTATACACATAAGGATATCTCCAAACTATTTATTAAAGATTATTTATTGACACATACAAAAAACTGACATTTCGAACGTGTAACTCTCCAATGACTTCACGACTTCTGCGCAATATCCTATCTTCTTATCATAGTAATAGTATATAGACCAAATGTCACATGAAATCATATTTATATTGAAGTTTTTTAACAATTGTGTTGCATTTTAGAGTATTATCGTGAATAATTAATTAAGACTGTAATATCCTGGTAAACCTGCCAGGGTATAAGGGTGAATAAATAAGTATGTTTTATTCCAGGCCGTTTATTGTGATACTTTATCTGACACCCTCGTGTTGACTGCCCTAACATGACAGCTGATGTCACCACGAGGCTCCTGTCATGTTGGTTGCCTAACAATGGCACCACATATATTACATCCTCCCTCTTATAGATTTAAGCGTTCAGGGGGTTTTACAGAGCGACCCGACCTAGTAGTTTTAAGCGATGGTTCATAGACTGGCTCCACAAGAGGCAATCCATAAACACTATCTCTTTGGTTTCTACAGGACTCTCTTTGCTCAGTGGGCAAGATATTCACTTCACACTGGGGCGGGTCACTTGAATCAGGATTGAACAGACTACATTGTATATTATCATGTCCAGAAGCTGTTTTGAACACATTTAATGATTCTCTTAAATCTACTCTGTTGCGTCTGACTGTGTTTCCATTTTCATTTAAAACCATATAAGACCTTGGTGTCCCATGTTGGCTAACTATTTGACCTGGTTCCCACTTCTTCTGAACATGATTGTATACTGTAACATCAGTATTATTTGTTAACGGTGGTAATTCTTTGGCACTTCTATTATAATACTTATTATATGTATTGCGCCTATGTTGCAGCTTCTCAAGCACATTTTCACATAACTTAGGTTGCAATAACTCTGAACTAATAGATATTTTAGTTTTACAAATCCGGCTCATTAACAATTGAGACAGGGAGTAACCAATATGCTTGCGAGGTGTATTACGGTATTGCAGCAATGAGATTTCAATATCACCTTCTTTTACTGATTTCTTAATTATATTTTTTGCTATTCCTACTACTTTCTCAGCGAGGCCATTGGAGCGTGGATAATTCGGGCTTCTAGTGATGATTTTGAAATTCCATTCTCTCGCAAAATTTTTACAATGCAAACTATCAAATGGTATATTATCACATGTTATACAATCTGGTGGACCAAACACAGAGAACACTCTTCTTAATACCCCAATAACAGCTTTGGAAGATTTATTCTTTATCAAATGCAGGTCCAACCAATTTGAAAATGAATCAAATATAACTAGGTAGCTATTTCCAGCATATGTAAAAATATCTAGGCCTAGGCGTTCCCAAGGGCGCTCAGCAATTGGGTACAGTTGCAGAGTTTCCTTCTGTTGCTTGTGTGCATTCGACTCACATGTTCTGCATGCATTGATGTGATGTTCAATGTCAGAATTAATACCTGGCCAATATAATATCTGTCTCGCACGAGCTTTGCTTTTTTCAATGCCAATGTGACCCTCATGCAGCAATTTCAACATTTCCAAACGCAGTGACTGGGGCACTATGACCTTATCAGACATCAATAATAGTCCATCTATAGAGATAAGACTCTCTTTCACTTTGAAATAATGTCGTATCGACTCTGGTACTTCCTGTTTGCTCTCTGGCCATCCATTAATGCAGAACTCAATTACTGCTTTTAGATGTTCATCTTTCTGTGTCTCATTTGCAAACTGTACTTTCCTTTCTTCAGACATGGGTATATTTTTGACTACTGCATGCACCGCATATTCAAATTCATTGTCACTTTTGAATCCTTTTTCTGAGAGGAATGCACGAGAAAGTGTGTCCGCAATATATAAATATTTTCCAGGTCTGTATGAGACCATTAAATCATAGTCAAGCAATCTTAAACGCATTCTTTGTAATCTTGGAGATATCCGTGCTAAATCCTTTTTAAATACGACTTCTAGTGGTTTGTGATCAGAGTGAACTTTGACCTTCTGTCCGTATACAAAATAATGAAATTTTTGAATGGCAAAGACAATCGCTAGCATTTCTTTTTCAATTTGGGCATATTTTTGCTCTGTTTTAGATAAGCTTCTAGATGCAAATGCCACTGGATGCCCATCTTGCAACAAACATGCACCCAGTCCATCCTTTGAAGCATCAGTTTCAATTTCACTTTCTTTTTTAGAGTTAAAATATCTCAGTACTGGTGATGTCGTCAATAAGTGTTTAAGCTGGAACAGAGACTGTTCATGGATGTTATCCCATTCCCATGTAACATCAAGCCTTGTGAGATCACGTAATGGGGCTGTTCCCAGACAGCACAGGACATCCCTGGGACGTCCATTTTATGTCGTTTTAAGGTCCAAACGTCCCGGGACTTCTTTTGGACGTCCGAGGGACGTCCAAGGGATATTTCTAGTCGGACATACCAGAGACGTCCCATAAGGTCGTTCAAGGGACGTCCCATTAGGGATGTATTAGGGACGTTTTCTAGGTGTTAACTGTGTCATTTTTTTACTTAAGCATATTTTTAACAAAATATAATCTTCCTACTAAACTTAATTTTAAAAAGTTATATTTAGTTTTAAATACCATTAATTTATACGAAAACAGACAGAGGCTCCTTTTAGAGAAAAATCTTTATCCTATAGCAAAGCTGTATCTCTAAAATTTTGTTCTGTAGTGGAACTGAAATTTAAAAATTAGGAGATAAAAGAAGAATGTGGTTATGTTTTAACGACGCTTCTATTTATCTCGTTTATTTCTCGAATTATAATCATTGTGGTTGTGGTTGTAATTAGAATTAGTTTATTGCTTTCGATACTAGTTTATAGTTTGGTAATTTATTATTATAGACATTAAGTAGGTATATAGGACTTTTATAGGTAATTTTTGTGGTTGTGGTGTGTTGCTACATTTGTAAAGTAAGTAGAAGTAATGTTCTTAAAAAATACTATAAATTTAAATACATATGTTAATATAAGTACACAATAAAAATCCCATTTATTTTTGCTTTTCATTTTATTAATTTTAAGTTCCCTTTAGGTCCTGTATACATCCTCATTTAGGTCCTATATTAGTCCATGTGGACGTACAATAGATGTCCCCAATACATCCTTCTTAGGTCCTATATAAGTCCGTATTAAGTTCTGTATATGTACTATGTACGTCCCCATGAACATCCCTGGGACGTCCAGGGGACGTACTTTTTGGTAACATTTAGTTCTTATTGGACGTCCCGGGGACGTCCAAATTATGTAAACGGATGTCTGTGGGATGTCCGGACATTTAATGAGGTACATCCTTTGGACGTCCATGGGACGTACTTGTGCTGTTTGGGTTACCTTTGACATGTTGGGCACAAACTTACCCAAGTACTTCGCCATGCCTAAAATTCTCAATAATCCTTTTTTATCACTAGGCCTAGGCAATTCTGAAATTGCTCTAACATAGTTTTTGTTGGATTCAACTCCACTTTTTGAATAAATTTGTCCCAAAAACTTTACTGATTTTAGTTTAAATTGAACTTTAGAGCTATTAAATTTAATATTGTATTCTAGTGCTCGTTCTAGGACCAATTTTAGGTTC